TTGTTGCAGGCGTGGCACTCACGCGCCCTAGCGGCGGGGACGCAAAAGGGGTATGTCACGGGCCCGTGCATGTGCAGATCTGCGTACGTTACCTGGCAGAACGCATGGTTTGGCCTCTCGGGCTCCTTTGTGTTAGTAGCCCCATGATCATCGCGTCATAGCATGCGTTGGCATTTAGGCAGGGGGGGGTCCTGGGGGGCATGGCGCGGGCCCCGTCGCGTCAAGATTGGGCCAATTCTCAGGTCGCATCTGTGTGTTTGCTTTCGGGCTCATCATTTCTTCAGGCCAATGGTCACCACCGCTTGGCAGGCGTGACAGTTTGGCGCCCCAGGGTCGGGGGGGGCGCCTGGGGGTATACCACGGGCCCGTTCGCGTCTTGACTCCCGTGCACTCTCAGGTAGAGCGGTTGGTTGGATGTCTCGTGCCCTTTTTTCAGGGCCCCATGTTCATCGGGCCGCATCTCGCTCTCCCGTAAACTTGAGATGGTGTATCGGACCTTTCATTTTCGAAGCCCACTGATCACCGAGGCAGAGCAGGCGTGACGTTCAGGCATCCCAGCGCGAAACCGCCAGGGAGCATATCACGGGCACGCTCGCGTTCAGGCTTGAGTTCGCTTTCATGTAGAACACTGGTTTGGGCATATGAAACTCCTTTCTCTGCATAGCCCCATGTCAATATCGCCATAACAAACCTCACATTGACGCGGACCCAGGTGAGCCGGCATGGGGGACATCGCGGGCCAGTTCGCGCCCACATTGTGGAGAGGTCTCGAGCGGTTCGTTTGTTGTTGGTGGATACACGCGTCTCCCTTCAGAGTCCCAAGATCCTTGCGGCGTTGCAGGCAGGGCACTTGGGCACCCCGGCGGGGCACCGCAAGCGGCCAAGATCGTTTTGGGGTCGAAGTATCCGATTTCAAAGTCCAACGACCATCGCGATGGAGCAGACATTGCTTGTCGGCACCCCATGGGAGGGGGCCGCAAGGGGGTGTCACACGGACCCATTTGCGCCAAGATTGTGGGATGTCTCGAGCAGTCCGCTTGTTCTGGGGGAGGTATGCGAGTCACTTCAGAGCCCGAATGTCCGAGCGATGTAGCAGGCATAGCACTTCGGCACCCCACGGGGGGAACCGACTGTCGGTATATCACGGGCCCGTCTGTGCCCAGATAGTGGTTCGCCGGGATGTCTCGAGCGGTTTGCTTGTTTTGTTTGAGGGGTGTTAGACTTGTCTTTCCGCAGGGCCGCATGGTAATCGCATTGTAGCAGACATGGCATCTGGACGCCACAAGGGGGAGCCGCCAGGGGGAACTTTCACGGGCAGGTTCGCGCTGACAATGTGGGGATGCCTCCAAGGCGGTTCGTTTGTTGTGGGGAGTGGGGGAGTCCTTTCCAGGGCCGCAGGCTCATCGTACTGTAATTCCAGGCATGGCTTTTGGGCACTCCAGGGGGAGGCTTCCATGGGTTATATCACGGGCCCGCGTGCGCCCAGTGCGTGGGCTCGCTTGCCGCGTGATCATCGCGATGCTTTGGCACCCGATGTGGAGCCGACTGTGGGTATATCACGGGCCCGTCCGAGCCCAGATTGTGGAGACGTCTCGCGCGGTCCGCTTGCCTTGGGGAAGGCAGAGTTGTTCCCCTCCAGAGCCCGCAGACCATCACGACGCAGCAGACATGGCACTTGACGCCCAAACGGGGAGCCGACGGAGGGGTATATCACGGGCCTGTACGCGTCCAGGTTGCGAGAGCGTCTCGAGCGGTTCGTTTGGTTTGGGGTAAGTGCCTCCTCTCAGAGCCGCATGATCACCGCGGTGTAGCAGGCACGGCATCTGCACACCCCAAGGGGGAGCCACCAGGGTGTGTATCACGGGTCCGTGTACGCAGATAGTGTAGAGATGTTTCACAGTTGTTCAGTTGTTTTGTTGGGGGTGAAGGCATGCTCCTCGCAACACATCAGGCATGGCTTTTGGGCACCCCTATCGGGCAGCCGCCAGGAGGCACGTCACGGGCCCGTTCACACTCAGATGGTGGGGATGTCTCGAGCGAGGCGCTTGCTATTTAGAGGTAGACGCGTGTGTTGTAAAGGCCGCATGGTCATTGCAATGTAGCAGACATGTTGTCCAGGCACCGTAAAGGGGAGCTACCCGGGGGTACATCACGGCCCGTTCGCGGCGCTCAGATTGTGGGAATGGATCGGCCAACCCAATCTCTCAGGCCCGCTGCTACCGTCATTTAAAAAAAGGAATATGCCACAAAGAATGGATGCGACTGTGGGGATCCCTGCGTCGAATCGGTTCTACTCGGCCGAAGCGAGGGAACCCCGATGGGGAGAAAGGAGGCAGGGAGCAGAGAAGGGGGAGCACGAGAGCGATGGGAGCTCGCGCTCAGCTACGGCAGGTTCGCGCCTCATCGACGCGGCGGCGACCCTGGCGCAGGCGATCACGGTGGAACGCCGCCAGCGGCCCTGAACTAGACCAATATTGAGTGACCCGTGTGGTTCGAACGCCGCGACCGCTCGAAGTTGAACGATCCACGCGGTGTCAGAAACCAACGCCGACGTCGTCGCGGCACGAACCTGCCGCAGCTGCACAGGACGCTCATTGAAAGGGGTGCGGAATCCCAGAGCCCAATCTACTCTGAGCGCGTTCCTGCCTCAAGAGACGGTGGCCTCCTGCCCGAGCCGCCCGCGTGATTTGGCGGACCGAGAGGCTGAAACTACGCGTGATTCCACTGCATTCCTGTTCCTCCTCCTCCTCCTCCTTCTCCTCCTCCTCCTCCTGCTCCTCCTCCTCCTCCTCATCCTCCTCATCCTCCTCATCCTCCTCGTCCTTCTCCTCCTCCTGCTCCTCCTACTCCTGCTCCTCCTCCTCCTCCTGCTCCTCCTCGTCCTCCTGCTCATCCTGCTCCTCCTCCTCCTTATCCTTATCCTCCTCCTCCTCCTCCTCCTCCTCCTCCTCCTCCTCCTCGTCCTCCTCCTCCTCCTCCTCCTCCTCCTCCTCCTCCTCCTCCTTCTCCTCCTCCTCCTCCTCCTCCCCCTCCTCCTGGGGCGCTGCTCAGCCTTGCGTACGCCCTCCTGCCCAAGACAGTGAAGTCGAGCGAGCGATGCGGAGTCCTCTTGCCATCAGTTGGGAAGATGGGAAGCCCTCTCCCTGGCGGTGTCTGAGACCGTTCTGTTGCACCACTCGCCGAGAGATGCGCTTGCTTCTTGCTTCTACAAGTTTCTTCCCGACGGCCTGCACGTGCTCAGAAGTCCCTCCCCGGCGCTCTCGCGCCAAGCCCAGGTCGGACGGGGCTAGGACGAGGATAGGTCCGTTCCAGAGCCTTCTGGAACGCTCTCAGAGCGTTCAGGAACGCTCTGAGAAGGCCGCGGCGCCCGATACATCCTCCAAACCGCCAGATCTCAGAGATTCTCGATTCATCCTCACCCGATGTTACCCTCGTCCTGGATTCGTCCCGGTTCGCGCGCCAGGCCCAGGGGACCTCTCGGCGCGCCGGCGCCGTCCACGGCACTAGCGAGCACCGAGCTGGACCTCCGCGAGCCGGGGCGCCGCCCGACCTCCTGGGGCCCTGGTCACGGGGCGGCGCGAGGGCGCGGGCGTGTGGGCCGCAGGGAGGGGAGGGGATCTTGCAGGAGCAGGTGGGTGCAGCTCAGAACGTCGTGGTAGGATGACCCAGCGTCTTCGTCGGTCGCGGCGGGATCGCGCCACGTCGATGCGGCGACGACGCCCGCGTCGGCGTTCCAAAGTGAAGGGCCACCAGCGGCCTGAACCGGGCCTGTCTCTTGAACGTTCTACTCGGGCGGGGCCAGGAGCCCGATACGTCCCGAGATTTTTGAGATTTTTGAGAGCCGCCGGATCGTTGAGATTTTTGATCGATCCTGCTCCGAAGTTGGCCTCGTCCTGGCCTCGTCTTCCCTGCGCGGCGGCGGAGGCCAGCGCCCGCCTCGTCGCGGCAGGCGACGCCCGCACTCCGCGTGCACGCGCGTGGGGCCCACGCGGGGGGGCCTCCTCCTCCTCCTCCTCCTCCTCCTCCTCCTCCTCCTCCTCCTCCTCCTCCTCCCCCTCCTCGGTCGGTCGGTCGGTCGATGAAGGCCTCTGAGTCACGCAGCCTATCACAGTGGATTAAGTAGAGAGAGGGCAGCAAGCAGAGGCAGTAAAGGGGATTAAAAAAACTGGCCGCACCACAACCTAAGCTGGCAGGTCGTTCCCCTCGTCACCCTCACCCCCCAGAGGTTCCAAACCATAAGGGTCCAGCTTGAGCTCCAGCTCAGTGAGCTCAGGAGCTAGGTCACGGTGATTGGATGAATGGATGAGAGCGGCGAATTTCTGGGCCACGCAAGCAAGAGGCGTGAGAGTGGACACGAGAGGGATGGAAGCATGCACACCAGACAATAGAATGCTACTCCCGTCGCAATCCAATCTACATCCCTCAAGCATGCTCACCTCTTTGAGTCCCCCAAAATGGTGGGTTGTGAGGCTTCGTTGGCCCACGGGGCATGCATGATGCCAAATGGAACTTGCGCGCCACGACAGGCGTGCGTCAACCAGAGCACCGCCCTAAGAGCACGATTATCCTCCCGTACGGGAGTGAACTCTACCTCGCGGAGGGCTCTCCTTCCCCAAGGAGAGCTGGGGTCTCGCGGCAGACGAGTACGGGCCCCCTCAGCCTGCCAGGTACCTCTGGGGGGCTCAGCCCAAAGCCCCCCAACAAAACCGTCCTGGATGAGCTGAGCCCAAAAGCGTAGCACGTGTGGCAGCGCAAGCTGTCCCCACAATTCCTGATCCCCTAAGGTAAGAATGCTGGCCCTTTTTCCACTGTCCGCCAATTCTCGTTCAAGTGACTCAATAAAGTCACCGTCGTGCCTGTTTCCCGTGTACAAGCACAAGAAGATAGACCTTGGCTCCAACCCTTCCTCCTCCTCCTCCTCCTCCTCCTCCTCCTCCTCCTCCTCCTCCTCCTCCTCCTCCTCCTCCCCCTCCTCCTCCTCCTCCTCGGCCGCCTCCCAGGACTGCGCCACGCTGCGCTGCAAGCAGGCCAGGCAGCCCGAAGCGGCAGTTCTGCTCGAGGAGGTCGCGAAGCGGACGCCTCCGCACCCGGCGACCCTCAACAACCTCGGTATTCCGAGGGGAGAAAGGGTTCGGGGCGATCGAGATGGGTACGGGAGGAGCGGGTATACGAAGACTTTCGGGAAGCGATGCCCAGTTTGAACCAGAGTCGCTGTCGGCGTCGACGCGGACGTTGTCCATTCGAGACAGAAGGCCGCCTGCCCAACAGCGGCCGCTGCCAGTTGTAGGCAGCATTCGCTGTTGGGCATCGTGCCCCTTTTATCCGTAATCGTTTCGGGCGTCCAAAACGGTACCCATAATGTTACCCTGGCCTCGTTTTCGCTCTTAAGGGGCCTCGATTGGGAGGCTCTCGTCGCCACGGCTGCTCCCGCCTCGGAATATCCTGGTCTGGGCGCACCCCAGGAGATGTCCGGGGAGTAGCGGTATCGGTCGTCGTCGCCGTCGTCGTCGTCGAGTACAATTTGGTTTCCCCAGGTACGGTCTACAACATGATGCGGCAGCCCGAGAAGGCTTCCGGCCACCCATCCGTGGTATACTCCCCTGAGACCCGACGTTGCGGAGGAGATGTAGCATCGCGAAAGATCACATTTGGAGCCGTATTGTCGCACCGAGGTGCAAGATCGAGGTCGGTTCGGGGAGGGTGCCCTGATGTGTCTCGTGCTTATCGTAATTGTTGTGCATCCTGGGGGAGGGTACCCTTGAGTGATCGTACGGTTTGGGATGTTTGGGCATGCGCAGGGTCTCATGTGCTTGAAAGATGTTTTTATGTCCCTGGTCCGGCTGCCATCTGATTAAAAAACCTCCTCCCAGCAAGTTGGGCCAGCGGTTCTTAGCCAATTCGCTGGGATGTTGGCCCGGCTTCGTAAGCACGTTTGCCCCTCCAGCGTGAACAACCGAATTTGGTCCAGGCTTGCTTTAAGAAACCTCTGGGAAGCTGGCCCAGATCTCTTAACCGACAAGTTTCTTGACCACACGTCCAGATTGTAGCATCGCGAAACACTGCATCTGGAGCCCAAGGCCTCGTCTTCCTGCGCCATTTCTCGTTCGAGCCTCTGGGCAGCTGGCCCAGATGTCTTAACTGACAAGTTTCTTGACCACATGCCCAGACTGCAGCATCGCGAAACATGGCATCTGGAGCCCAAGGCCTCCTCCGTCTGCGCCACTTCTCGTTCGAGCCGCATCGATCTGTGCTGGCCCCTGGGGCCGGAAGCCAGGCGAAAGCGCCCTTGCTCGGGTCGGGCGAAAGGGGGGTTTGGGAAAGGGGGGTTACGAAATCTGCTGCATGTAGCTGGTTTCGGCCCCACCGCGGGGCCCGTTCTTCGATACATGGCCGCCTCTGGCACCTGGAGGTGCCGGGAAATTCAGCTAATGTGAGTTGATTCTCAACCCCCCCTTTGCTATCCCCCCCTTTCGCCCGACCCGACTTGCGCGGAAAGCAGGCCCCGCCCGGAGCGTCAGAGTCGGTGCCCCTCGGCGGCCCTCGGCGGCCTTCGGCGACCCTCGGCGGAAGGCCGAGGAGTACTTCAAGGCAGCCATGGAGGTTCGGGCGGGCGGCCAAGAGGGGGGGGGCCCACACGAGGGGTGAAGGAAAGGGCCCTCGATTGCCACCTTTTGACCCCTTTTGGGCCCCTGCGGATTCCAAAAGCGGCCTTAAAGAGCCCGTTTTGTCGGGGAAACGTAAGATGCGAGTACGCCAGGACTCGGGTTTGCCGACGTTTTTGTTGACGAGCGCGTGCTGGATGTTCACGGTCCAGTTTTCGTGGGATGCTTGCAGCGAGAGCTCGCGTCAAATTTCAGATTGTGTCTCGTCATTTTCATGATGGCCCCGTCAGGCCAACTCGAGTTCCCCGTACCCGAGTCTTACGTCTCCCCGACTGTAGTGCCCTTCTCTTCATCCCCCGCGTAGGGCAACCCCCACGACCACACGCCCGAGAGGTGGCAGGCCACGAGGAGCCGGTCAAGGACGACCTGTGGAACCTCGGCATCGCCAAGAAGAACATGAAGCGGTATCTGCCGACGCCCACCAGGGCGCGGCGCGGGGGGGTGGGCGTCTGAGAGCCCAGACCCCCTCGCGCTGCGACAAACATCGCGACGGGAGGGTTTTGTTCGCTGTTGGCAGCCCTTGGGGGGGCCCTTACCCGGGCCTCGGGACGGTCAGAAAACGACCCGGGATGAAAAGCCAGTTCTGGCGAAGGGGTCCAGACCTCTGGGGGTCGCCGTTGTGAAAAAAACTCACGCCGTCGGGGGTCCGGGAAGGCGGCCGGCCTCCAAGTCGGAAGCGGGAGCATGGACATCACCAGCGGCGGACTCTTTTTTTCAGTCCCGGGACTCCTTGAAGGGTCGGGGGCGACGTCGGGGTGGTGGGGTGTACACATGTGTTGCCTCTTTCCCGGGGAAACGCCGAACGTGTTGCCTCTTTCCCGGGGAAACGCCGAAAAGTGTCTGCACCAGGATCCCGTATACACCAGGATCCGCTTTCCTGTACAAGTCTCAGTGCCGGGCCGGAAAAAGCGTCGATCCGTTCCACTACAAAAGCAGCAACTTTAGAAGGTTCTGGGCCCTGCTAAGAAAGCACCGGGCCTTTTGGGGAGCACCTCCGCCTTCTTAGATGGCCATCCCCCTCGCGCCACCCCCTTGACGGCGCCGTCAAGGTATGACGAGGCGTTACCCATGCTGCTGAAGGCGCTGGAGGGATGGGAGCGCGAAGAGCCAGAGGCTTCGAAGAAGAAATATTGCTTAAACATACATCTCCGGAGCTCCGCGCGGATTTCTCGGATTTGCACTTGGCCCCTTTGGCGGCGCCTTTGGCACCGCCCCCGGCGCGCTCCGCATCCAAGAAATCCGCGTGGACCTTCCCAATATCAAAAATGTGTATGTTCTTTTGTAGTTCCTCTGAGGACGACGTGACGCTGGCGAAGCTGCACGATACGGTCGGAAGTTGTTACGACCTGATGGGGCAGCCAGAGAAGGGCGTCGAGCACTTCAGCCAGGCCCGCATCCTTTTCGGGCGGAGCATTGGCGCCGACAGCCCCCTCTACGGCAGCTCCTGCGAGGGGCTCACGAAGTCGCTGATCCACGCTGGCAGGTACGCTGAAGGCTTCGACCGGCTAGAGGAGACCTTCTTGAATGTTGCGGAGAAAGACGCCATACATCCAACGCCCCTATTCGAGCTGCTCGGTTACGCGCTGGAGGACCTCGTCTACCCCGGCAACCTGGACCCCGGAGAGCTCGCCCGACTGGAGGCGCCCATCGAGCTTGCCGTCCGCAACATGGTGCACAGAGGCGCAGGGGTCCAACGGGCTTTCGCGGGTAAGAATCCAGCAGTGGCGAGGCGTCCCGGCTTGCTCTTAGGCCCACCAAACAAAGTTATGAGAACCTGTGTGGTTTGCACGAGATGATCTTAGAACCTCTTCAGTCTGAGACCGTCTTGGCATCACACCTCGAAGTCATGTTCGAAGTGCATTGCTTTCATTACTGGGACATTCTGTGATTCTGAAGACATGTCGTGGTAGACCTATAGAAATACTGGGACGGTCAGTACCTGCTCGAAGAGAGCTGTGCCTGTAGCAGGCGCGGCAATTAGGACCTGAGCCTGCCAGCAGACGTCCCACGGAAACTTCGTTGTGTTCGTCGCCCGAGGGCCCTGGGGGGCCCGCAGAGGCCCTGGGGCACCTCGGGATGCCCAAGGCTCAACGACGAACGTGCCTACAAGGGGGAAACGCTGGAGGGAAACGCTTCCGAGCCTGGAGGGAAACGCTTCCGAGCCTTTTCTGGGAAGATCCTCGCGCGGCCCAGGGGGTCACCCTAACATCTGCTCCGTTTTCGGGTGACCCGTCAGCCTCTTGTCCAGGAAGGCTCTCGCGCAGAGGCCCTGGGGCACCTCGGGATGCCCACGGATCACGAGGAGAAACCACCCGGACCGGACAAATTGGCGTTTATTACCCGGCCCTGGGCGTGTACTAAACAGCCCTGCCCTGTTCGATTACTTCTCTTGGGTGTGTTTGCTGGAGGCCTCGCGTGTCGGGGTGGTTATTATCGGGGTGGGTTTTCTGCCCTTTTCTGAAGCAGGGAAAAAACAAACAAGCAAGCAAACAACAAGCAAAACAACTGTCTTGGCGCTCCGCGCGGATCTCTCGGATCCGCGCTGGGCCCCCCTGGCTACACATAATCGTTTTTGGCGCCGCCAGGCGGCTCCAAGAAATCCGCGCGGAGCGCCAAACGTCGATGTTTATGGCGTGTTCTTTCTTCTTCTTCTTCTTCTATTATTTTTGAGTGCACTACAGCAGGATTTCGCATCGCACGTGCTGGCTGTAAACTCGCACGGCGCACCCGTGCGGTGTGCGCACTTAACACGTCTTCCAGGTGGGGCCAGCTGGTGTGGCACAGGGGCGTTGTCCCCCTTTGTGTCGGCAAGAGCGAAATGACTACGGAAAGTCTAGGTACGAATGCCAACAACATGTCGTGCTCATTTTGAACAGGACTCTCTGTCGGTGTCGCCGCGCACGTTGTCCATTTGAGACAAAGCCGCCTGCCCAACAGAGGCCGCTGTCGGTTCTTGGACAACACGTGTTGCTGGTCATGGTACTTATGCTGTCCGTACCCATTTCGGGCGTCAAAATTGTTGCGTCCTCATCGAGCTGGCCCTCCAATCGAAGAACAAAACATGCATGAGACAAATTTTCGATGCTCCGCGCGAATTTCTTGGATCTCTGCTGGACCCCGCTCGCGGCGCCTTTGCAGCCGCCCCTGGGTGCGCCACGCGCACCAGGGAGGGGACCCAGCGCCGATCCAAGAAACCCGCGCGGGGACTTCCGAAAGGTTATGCTCATGCACTGTGTTGAATATTTGTTTATCCATCCGCCCTCATTTTCAATAACTCCACCTCGTCGCGCCCGCAGGCGTTTCGGTACAGTGGGGGCGGTCGTTCAGGAATGCTCCCAGGAGGCTACAAACCTGAAGGACATCTTGTCTAATCAAAGCGGCGGTGATATCCATGGCCACTCCACGACTGGATCCCACCGGCTTCCAGACCCTTGATTCCTTATCCAATTGTTCTTTATCTTGCACCCTAGGGTGGGCCGGGCGCTTCGCCCAAGAGTCCGCCGTTTTTTTCGGAAATTTGAAGTCCGAATTGTCCAGCGACAAGGGGTGGCTTGTTCTCAAGATATGGCTCCAACGACAGCGTCGCGCCCGTTCGTCTGACACAAGAATATATGGTCAGCCAATTTGGCTTAGCGTGTCGCTCCGCAAAGTTGGCCCACAGCGTTTCGGTGCGACACGTTATCCACGCCTCATTCCCAGGCGTCAATGTCCCGAGATGTTTCCAGCCTCCCTTCCCGCGGAGCGGAGCGACACGCTATCATGTTGCAAGGGATATTGGGTCGCTGGGGCCGCCTCCGCGACACATTAAGTCAAAGAGTTCCTGACCGCAAAGAAGTTTCGCAGATGGTGGGCGGGTCATCCTCGAAATATGGCTGTAGTTTGTTGGGCTGCGCGTAGTCGTGCGAAACGCTGTGCAACAGCTACAAGGATGGCGGTGAGGTCGGTTGTCAATACGATTCTCGCCTCAAGGTCTTTCGCGTTCGCCTTATGACTTAGCAACACTTCACGGGGGCGCGTCGATTTCGAAAAAATGGGCCCTTGCTTGAGACCTCCGCGAATCCTTTGGCCCGGAAAATATGTGCACTGGTCACACAGATGGAGGTTGGTGGTTCGTTTTCTGAAGATTGCTATCGCTTGATGCTGTTGTCAAAATTCTATGGCACAGCATACAAAAAGAAGCATGCACAGCAGCTCTGTGGATGGAGGCCCTCTCCGTTTCAAAAAGGCGCTCAGTTCTCATGTGCCTGAACGTTGAGATGACACGTGTTGGCACAAGGATGTGGGGGGGCGGTTGTTTTTCGAATCGGGGCTCCCGCCAGAGTTGCAGGCCGGCGGGGCGCTCGCCTATCCAGGCGGTGCCCGCTGTAGTGAGGAGGAGCACTCGTGGGACGCCTGATAGGAGAAGGGACGTAGGCACGGTGGGTTGTGCTGAAGCATCGTCAGTGCATCTTGGAATTACGCTTGACGTCCCCCACATATCCCTTTTCTCCTCGTTCCACTCCACCATTGTTTCTGCACGTCCTCCGGCTCCTCTTCCTCAGATTCGTTTTCATGCTCAACGTTTGTTCGTGTGTTGTCCTTCTGTTCATTATCTTTTTCCCTCTCCTCCCACGATTCCCTCATTCCTCCCTTCCCCCTCCTTCCCTCTCCATCCTTAGTCCCTCCCTCCATACTCCTCGTCTGCATCCTCCTCCTCCCCCTGCAGCTGTGCCTGCTTATTCTTATTATTAGTATTTATAGTATTTGTTGTATTAGTATTCTCCAGAAGGGCTTCAACCCCCATGCCGCTGGCCCCCCTCTCTTAGAATGGAACTTGCCAGAGCTGTGTTGGGATGTTTGGACGTTGACGCGAAGCAATGTCGGGACTTCACGCGAGGGCCAATATTAATTTACAATTGTTTATGGCTTCGGTGGCGCGAAGATCAAGTAAATTACAATGGTGTATGGCTCCGGGGACGCGAAGATGGTATAAGTTACGAGGGTGTATGGCCTCGGGGACGCAGAGATTGTGTAATTTACAAGGGTGTATGGCCTCGGGGGCGCAACGATCGCATAATTTACAAGGGTGTATGGCCTCGGGGACGCGAATAGTGTATGACTCGCGAAGGGTTTCTGGCCTCGGGGACGCAAACACGGCGTAAGGCACGATGGTTTATAGCCCTGGGGACGCGAATGTTGTCTAATGTTCGAGGGCTTTGGGTTCCCAGAACGCGACTATTCTTAATTTACGAAGGCTCATGGTGTCGGGAGCGCGTATATTGTGTAACGTGCGAGGGTGTATGGCGTCGGGGGCGCGAACCTTCTGCAATTACGAGGGATTCGAGGTTTCGAGAACGTGAATGTTGTGTAATCTCGGAGGGATGGCGCAATGTACTCGGGATTACGGCTTCGGGGACGCGAATATCATGTTTTCTCACGTGTCCCACGACCCCCCCTGAAGTCAGACAACGCGATTCGGGGACGCTGGCCAGGACGGTTTTCGGCTCCCCCCACCCCCTCGCGCGTTCAGCAACAATAAACAGTAAGGAAGCAGAAACCATGATTGTAACAGTGGAAGCTGGAAACTGCAACTGGCACAGGGAGCTGCAAGCCGAATATTCGCAGCCTGATGGGCACGCAAGGGGGTCGGCGGATTAGTATTACTAGTATTATTTCAGATATCCTAAGGATGAGGTTCTTCTTGTTATTACGTAGACCGCGCGGAACAGAGGAACACAGAAAGGGAAGAGGGAAGGACGGAACACACATCCCACCCTCAGGTCATGATTCCCTGACTCATTGACATGTAGACTCACTCACATTCAGACTCACTCATACTCAGATGCACTCGCCCTGAGATTAATGATACTTTGGTTTCTCATGCTCGGAGTCACTCATATACAGACTCATTCGCACTTCGAGTCGCTTCTCAGACTCAAGGTTGATCATACTCAAGTCAATCACAGACACACTCACACTCGCACTCATCCAGACCCATACTCAGACTCACTCACACCCAGACTCACTCACACTAAGACTCACTCATACTCTGCCTCGCTCCTCCTCATTCCGACTCAGCCACACCACTTCCGCGCTCAGACTCAAACACACGTTGTCATGATGTCTCAGGCGAGGCGCTGGCTTCAGCACTCCCAAGGGGGGTCGCCAGGGGGTACCTCACGGGCCCGTTCGCGCCCAGATGTGGGGGATGTCTCAGGCTGTTTGCTTGCGCGGGTGCTCAACATTCTTCCCTTTCGGAGCAGTTTCCGAGGCTGTCTCAGGCGAGGCGTTGGTTTCAGCAATCCTGAGGGGGGGCGCCAGGGAGTATCGCACGGGCCCGTTCATGCCCAGATTGGGGGGGTGCCTCAGGCAGTTTGCTTGTTTGGGTGCTCAACATCCGTCCCTTTCGGAACAGTTTCCGAGGCTGTCTCAGGCGAGGCGCTGGTTTCAGCAATCCAGAGGGAAGGGGGCGCCAGGGAGTATCCCACGAGCCCTTTCGCGCCCAGATGTTGGGGGGTGCCTTAGACGGTTTGCCTGTTCGGGTGCTCAGCATCCTTCCCTTTCGGAGCAGTTTCCGTCTCAGGCAGAGGCGCTGGCTTCAGCACTCCCAGGGGGGAGCGCCAGGGGGTATCTCACGGTCCCGTTCATGCCCAGATTGCGGGGGATGCTTCAGGCGACTCGCCTGTTTGGGTGCTCAACATCCTTCCTTTTCGGAGCAGTTTCCGAGGATGTCTCAGGCGAGGCGCTGACTTCAGCACTCCCAGGGGGGAGCGCCAGGGGGTTTCTCACGGGCCCGTGTATGCCCAGATTGGGGGGGGGGATGTTTCAGCCGGTTTGCCTGTTTGGGTGTTCAACATCCTTGCTTGTCGGAGCAGTTTCCGAGGATGTCTCAGGCGAGGCGCTGGCTTCAGCACTCCCAGGGGGGAGCGCCAGGGGGGTATCTCACGGGCCCGTTCGCGCCCAGATTGAGGGGTTGCCTCAGGCGGTTTGCTTGCGTGGGTGCTCAACATCCTTCTCTTTCGGAGCAGTGTTCGGCGCCCGCCCTCATCGGTGTTCAGAAGATAAGAAGGAGAAAGAGGAGGACGCCAATGAGGAGGAGGAGGAGGATGAAAGAAGGAGGAAGCAACTAGTTAAAGTCGCCGTAGTCGTCGACATCTCTCCCGGCTTCGTCTGCCACATGAATTCTCTGACACTCAGATAAAAGGGTAATGCTTTCTACAGACGCATGCCGTCACTATGCGATGCACATATGGGAATGTCCGCGTCGAGAAAGTATTACTATCGACTTGCGATAACCATGGTGCTCCTCCTGCTTCTGCTACTCATTCCCCTCATCAGCATCATCTACCTCATGCTTCTCCTCGCCATCATCCACTTCCTCCGTCCCTACAAGGGGGGAGGCGGAGGAGGGGGGGGGGAGAATCGCGAGGAAGACGACGTGGATGATGAGGAATGGAGGCGGGGAAGGCGAGGCCGAGGGAGGGGCGAAGGGTGGGAAACGAGAAAGGGAGGTCAGGGGCTCGGATGGCGAGGAGAAGGGGAGTGCAAGGAGAGCGAGGAGGGGAGGGGCGCCTACCCTCCCCCCTTCCCTCCTCGCTCATCACACACTCCCCGTCGTCTCGCCCTTCCCCCTTCTGCTCGCCCTCCCTCATTTCTCTTCTCGTATTTCCCCTTCTCGCCCTCAGGAGGGCAAGACGAAGAAGGATGCATCCTCCGCCTCCTCATCATCCTTCCCATCATCATCATCATCATCATCATCATCATCATCATCAGCAGCAGCAGCATCATCACCACCATCATCAGCATCATCATCACCATCATCATCATCTTAATCCGCATCATCATCACCACCATCATCATTACCGTCATCACCATCATAAGATTCAGCAGTATCAGCATCATCGGCATCGTCATCATCACCACCATGCCAGCATCAGCATGATCATCAGCATCATCATCGTCATCATCATCACCATCATCAACATCCTCAGCATCATCCTCATCCTCATCAGCACCCTCATCCCTCTCCTCCCTCCTTCCTCCTCTCTCTCTCTCTCTCTCTCTCTCCTCATGCTTCTGCGTTTACTCCCCCGCCTCCTGCTCTTCCACTTCCTTCTCATCGTTCTCCTCCTCCTCCTCCGCCTCCTCCTCCTCCGCCTCCTCCTCCTTCCCGTATTCGTCCCACTCCCCGACGCGCTCGCTTCTTCGCCTTCTCGTTCACTCTTCGTCGCCCGAGCCCCGTGGAGGCCTGGACAAGGATGGCAACGCCGGAGTGTTGTTCGAGCGCATGGGGCAGGCAATTCGCACAGTGGGCTGGCCACCCCGAGCAGGGCTGGGGGGGGGGCAGGGGAGCAACCGAGCAGACCCTGCTGCTCTTCCCAACTGGTAGCGAAGTCCTAGAGACGCGGCCGGCTTCCAGCCTCCTCCTCTTCCTCATCCTCCTCCTCCTCCTCCTCCTTCTCCTCCTCCTCCTCCTCCTCCTCCTCCTCCTCCTCCTCCTCCTCCGCGTACTTAGAGCACGTTAGGCACCACTTCGCCTCTTGCAGCTCAGGACTTGGCTGTGCAGGGAGGCGCCGTTTTGCCTTCCAGAATGCGGACGTCCTCGCGAATCACATCAGCACCGTCAACTCAACGCCGACCTGGCGACGCAATCCCAGCAGGAGGCACACGGGGCAGCACGCCGTGCGGCGACTGCGGGCAGGCGGCGCGAGTCTGATCACTGGCGGAAGGTGCAACGGCGGGCTCAGGCCCCGGGGGCGCATTTGGCAACCATTTCGGCGAGTTGTGGTTCTGCAGGGGATCAGGGTCACGCACGCCGACGGCATGCAGCCGAGGGTAGTGCGCGAGCCCATTGATATGGCCCAGGCTCTGCGAGGCCATTGGTCGCCGATCTTCGCAGACGAGGCGACCGATCCTGCTGCGGTGGAGCGCTACCTGGACGAGGGCCTGCCGCCGCTCGCGGAGCACCCGCTCCCACTGCCGACGCTCGAGGATCCGGAGCACGTGGCGCGCCACGCGCGCCCGGCAGCTGCGGGCCCCGATCTGCTGCCGTGCCGCGCTCCTCGGAGGGGGCGATCGAGATCTTGCACGTGGTACTGCTGGAGCTCATGCGCGGCGCCCGGCCGCCTCCTCAATCCAATCACTGTCTGATGCTGTTCATGCCGAAGCGTGACCGGCCGCCGTCGGCGACGGAATGCCTTCGGACGCCAGGGTTCCTCCGGCCGGTGACTTTTTGAGGAACTCGGATGCGAAGCTCTGCGCTGCAGCCGGCAATCGCTACTTGCGCACGATGGCCGAGCAGCGCGCTGACGACGTGCAGCGAAGCTCCATTTGGGGCCAGACCTTCACAGACAACATCTGGCAGCTGGACCTGCAGGCGCGGACCCAAGGCGTCGCGCCACTTGCGGAGGAGCGTCGCCCGGCCATGTGTTCCTCCGATGTGGCAGTGGCGTTCCCGTCTCTGGCACGCCACTGGTTGTTCGCCAGCCTGAGGAGGTATGGGTTGTCCGCGGAGTACGTTCTGCTCGTGCAGGCGTTGCACGTCGACCAGTGCTGCTGGGTTCGCTCTGGCGGTGCACTGCTCGTGCTGTGCCCCCTGGGCTCTGGCGTTGCACCGGGCTGTCCCCTCAGCGGCACCCGATGGGCCCTGGCCCCTGGCCTCCAACCCACTCTTCGTTGGGATGCAGAGGATCTTGGTTGAGCCTTCGCGCGTCGCCGTGGCGAGGTGCGCCGAGATGAATATGGAGCACGACCGGCATGTTCTCCGCTGACGCTGCGGCAGCCTAGCGGCGTGCGCGGATAGCACTGGACTCATCGTGACCGCCCTCGCACACTTTGCACGTTGAAGCCGTTGTTCGAGGCCATGCCGATTTTGGCCAGCTTCTGGCTCCGGCCATCGAAGTGCGTTCTGGTCCCACTTTTGGGGCATCATTTCAGAAATTGACGATGCAGCTCTCCCCGTGGAGCTGGGCATTCTTATGGGGGGCTGGGTGGAGTTCATGAAATACTTGGGTGTCAAGCTCGGCCCGGGCGCAACGAACGAAATGCAGCGGGCGGAGGCGGCAGGCAAGTACCACACGCGCTTGTGCTTACTCCAGGACTGTCCGGCGCCCAACGAAGTGATCGCGCGTGACTACAGCTCGGCGGCGCTGCCCGTGCTGAGCTACCTCATGCAGTTTTGTCACAGGCCCCAAACTATACTTCAGCGAACTGGATGGTTTACATCGTGTTTTGCGCTGCCCTTTGAAGGTAGTGAGCCACCAGAAACGAACTGCTCAGCATGAGGTGGGTGTCCATGACGTCTTTCACGTAGATGCTCGCCCTGTCCTTCGCTACGACGTGGCGCGCAGCGGCAGTCACCATGCCGACGTGGCCGCGATGGCTGGAGAGCTTGCGCGAGCATGCGCTCGAGGAGGGATTGGCGACGCGGGTGGTACAGGGTCTGTCGTCTCCCTCGTCTTGGAAGGAACAACGTGCCATGATCCAGACTTTCGATGACCACCTCTCGGAGCGCGCTGACGCTCGTCGCCGTCGTAACGGCGTTCGTGCGGCAGCTGCTCTCAACAGGGCCCGGCGGGAGCTAGCGTGCGAGGCGTTCCCAGGGGCGCGACAGCGTCCCCGTGCAGAAGTCGATATACAAGTTCCTGGGCCAAGAGCTCCATGACGATTCCTTCCACGTGACCATCGGGAAGAGATTGGAGAAATGGCCGGCTGAAGATGGCGAGGTGGTGCCCGGCGGCCTCCAGGACCGATGGCATCATCTCCGCGCCACCTTCGTTTCCCCGAAGCTTGGGGTGTGCTGGGCAGAGGTGAAAACCTTGGCTGGGACCTGGCCGACAAACCAACGAATGCACGTGTTGGATGACCGCCTGACGTGCAGGTTCGGCTGCCAGGCCGAAGACGACATACGCCGTTACCTCCGATGCTCACGGGCTTGGCATTTAGTCCCGTTTCCAGATGAACATGTCGAGGATGATGTTCTTCAGCGAGCTGCATTGCGCATAGCTTTCATGCACCACCTCTACAACACCATCCGGCACGATATCGCAGACAACGCCTACGACTTCAACCTGCACACCAGTGCCCTGAGTGCTGCCCAGCAGCGCATGTAGACCTGGAGTTGTTTTCCTGGGCTGCGCGTCCTCCTCCTCCTCCTCCTCCTCCTCCTCCTCCTCCTCCTCCCCCTCCTCCTCCTCCTCCTCCTCCTCCTCCTCCTCCTCCTCCTCCTCCTCCTCCTCCTCCTCTTCGTGGCCTGACCTGACCGATGCTAGTCCGACAGGCTCGCGCCATGCCGCCAGGGTCCTGGCGGGGGGTATTCGTGGACGACGCGCCGGGCTCTTCGGGCGCGGCGGAGGAGCGCAGCGGGGGGTAGAAGGGGCAGAGGAAGAGGAGACGGAGGAGGAGGAGGAGGAGGAGGAGATGACGAAGGCGGAGGAGGAGGAGGAAGAGGAGGGGGAGAAGGAGAAAGAGGGGAGGAGGAGGAGCGGGAGGGGGAGGGGGAAGAAGAGAGAGAGAGGAGGGCGGGGAGGGGATGGGAGGGAGGAAGAGGAGGAGGGGTAACCGCATGCACCGGATAATACAGCATACCCACCACTTCCCACGATCTTCATGATTATCACCTACCAAAGCAGTTGTTGTCAGCGGTGGGGAGATGCAGGGCCGAACTTTACTATCGCTGGGAAACGTATGCATCCAGCTGCTTACTCAGGCTTCCTGCGACCTACTTCCCACCCCACCCTCCTCCGTCCCTCCTCTAAGGTATACCAAGGATTCCCCCCTCCAGGGAGGCCCTGCCTGAGCGATCACGTTGTCGCTATACCATAGTAATTATCAGGAGTTCTACTTCTCCCACCACTCCAAGGAGGCCCCGCAAGAGCGAGCACGGTATCGTTATACCATGAGACTCATGAGATTCCGTGCAACCCTACATTCCGGAAAATCCCGTTCGCTTCTCATCCTCATGTTCTTCTTCCTTTATGTTGCGATTTGCCGGGAAAACATATCCCGCGGGAGCCAGAATTTGATTGTCCCCACCTTGTGGCTATCGGGGACATAGGGCTCGTGAGGGGGACGGTGGGGAAAAGGAGGAGGAGGAGGAGGAAGAAGAAGAAGAAGAAGAAGGAAGGCATTTGGGTGCGGCAGTTCGGCCAATCCGTCCCGAAAGTTTCCAAGAGCCTTCCTCCAGAAGGTATTTTAGAAGTTGTTGCGAAGAGGCCCTCCCAAAAACCTTCCTCTGAACGGTTGTTGTGAACCTTCCTCTGGAAGGCGTTCGGATGGTTTCTTCCGAAAATATTCAAACAATCTTTTTTCAGGGAGTTGTTGGCAGGTTTTCTTTCAAAAACTGCGAACACATCTGCCTCACGAAGGTTTTGGATGGCTTACTCCAAACAACCGTCCAAAATCCTTGCTCGGGAATGTGTTTGGAGGGTATCCTTCAAGAAAATAGGCCGACCGCCATCCTCCGGAAGGTTGTTGGTGGATTTGTGTAAGAAAACCGGCTTTTTTCCTCAGAAAGGTTGGTGGAGGATTCATTCCAACATACTTCCCAAACCTTGTACAACAACTTTGCGCTGGGATGGATTTTTGGAAGGCGTCCACCAAAAACACCGTCCAACACAATTCCTTAGGGAGGTTGTTGGAGGGCTTTCCAAAAAGCCGTCCGAAAACCTTACTCGGGATGTCGTTTTCCGAAGGCTTCCTCAACAAGGAAACCGTTCTCAGGAAGCTTGCTGGATGGCTTCATCCGAAACATGTTCCAAACACTTTTCAGAAAGGTTCTTGTAGGGCTCCCTCCAAAACACCGTCCAAAAACCTTCATCTCGGAAGGTTGTTGGAAGGTGTTTGGAAGATTATTGGACGGTGTATTTGAAGGTTTGCGCAAGGTTTCTGAAAAAGATGTTGTTCGGATGGTGTTGGGAATGTCAGTTCGAAAGGTTACGTCAATGTACCGGGTGGTTTGGCCAAATGTTGGAAGGTGTTTTGAAGGTGTTTGAATGTTGTTGGGAGCTTCTTGGTATTAAAGGAACTTCCTAATACATTTCTCGTCCCCCTCCCTTCCCCGAGCCTGGAGAGACCTTCGACAAAATCTTCCGAACACCTTCCTGAGGAAAGTGTCCAAAGTAATTATTTCCTTCAAACAATTCGAACAACCGATCCGCCCGCCCGCCGCCCGCTCGCCCGCCGTCCGTCCGCCGCCCGCCCACCGCCGCCCGCCCGCCGTGATTCCGCTTTCAGCACAGCACACAGTTTTCAACAGCGTCCGTTTCCAACACGAACCCAGTATTCAACAGCCTCCGTCTCCAACACAAAATTTACAGTCAACCCGAACAGTAAGGACAATCGAATTCCCAAGGGTACCCGTTCATCCTTGCCACTTCGGTCATCTTCGGTGCATCCTCAACCACGTTCGATGGCCAGCCACGCTCGAAGAGTTTCGACATGGACGTCCAAGGCCATTGCATCCTTATCACGCGTCCTGACTATACGGGTTGACTGTAGTACTCAACAGCATCCCGCTGCAAGAGAGAATCCTCTAGAGCTCTATTAGAATCCCGATCCGCCCGCCCGCCGTACTTCTGTGTTCAGCACAACACCCAATACTCAACAGCATCCGTTTCCAACACAACGCCCAGTACTCAACAGCCTCCGCCCCCAACGCAACATTCAGTTTTCAACAGCATCTCGCTGCAAGAGAAATATCCAGATCCGCCCGCCCGCCGCCCGACGCCCGCCCGCCTACCAGCCCGCACGCCGCCCGCCCGCCGCCCGACCCCCGCCGCCCGCCCGCCGCCCGCCCGCCGCGTTTCCGTGCTCAACAGCATCCGTCTCTGTCTCCAGCGCAGCACCCAGTACTCAACAGCATCCCGCTGCACGAGAGGAATCTTAGGAGTTCGATGCGCATCTCGATCCGCCCGCCCGCCCGCCCGCCCGCCGCCGGCCCGCCCGCCAGCCCCGCCCCGCCCGCTCGCCGTGTTCCCGCGTGCCACACACAACCCAATATTCAACAGCGTCTGCGTCCAACACAACATCCAGTATTCAACAGCCTCCTTCTCCAACACGAAACCCACAATTCAACAGCATCCCTCTGCAAAAGCGAATCCTTCGAGTTTCTTTGAAAATCCTTCTCCGCCCGCCCGCCAGCCCGCCGCCCGCCCGCCCGCCCGCCGCCCGCCCCCGCTCGCCGCGCTTCCGCAGTCAACGCAATACCAAGTTGTCAAAGGCTTCCGTCTCCAACACACACCCTGTATTCAACAGCTTCCGACTCCGACGCACCAGTCAGTACTCAACAGCGTCCCGCTGCAAGAGAGAATTCCTAGGAGTTCCATTAAGATCACGATCCGCCCGCCCGCCGCCAGCCCGCCGCCCGCCCGCCCGCCGCCCGCCCGCCGCGCGTCCGTATTCAGCACAACACCCAATGCTCAACAGCCTCCGTCCCCAACGCAACATTCAGTACTCAACAGCATCCCGCTGATCCTCCCGCATGCCGCCTGCCCACCGTCCGCCCGCCCGTCGCGCTTCCGCGCTCAACACAACACGCAGCACTCAAAACAGCATCCGCGTCGAAAACAGCAGCCTGTACTCAACTGCCTCCGTCCCCAGCACAACGCCCAGTATTTAACAGCATTATGCTGCAAGAGAGAAACCTTAGGGGTTCCATTATAATCCCGATCCGCCTGTTGGTTGCCCGCCCGCCGCCCGCCCCACGCCGCCCGCCCGCCATGTTGCCGTGTTCAACACAGCACCTAAGATTCAGCATCATCTGTTTCCAACACCACACCCAGTAATCAACAGCCTCCACCTGAGAAAGGTGTTTGGTAGGTTTTAGGAGGAAGCCTTCCTAAAAGCATTCCCGAGGAAGGTTTGTGGAAGCTCTTTTGGAGGAAACCCTTCAAACAGTCATCTGGAGGAAGATTGTTGGAAGGGTGGTGGAGGAAACCTTCAAAATAATATCCGGAGGAAGGCTTTTGGACGGCTAGGAGACAACCATCCAAACAATCCTCCTCAGGAAAGTGTTTCGAAGGCTTTTGGAGGAAGCCATCCAGAAACCTTCCTGAAGCATGTTTTCTAGGGAAGATCTGCCGTACATAACCTCGTGAACTAAAGTCCGTCTGAAGAATGTGTTTGGAAGGTTGATGGAGAAAGCCCTCCAACAAGTTTTTCCGGAGGAAGGTTTCTGGAAGGTTGCAAGAGAACCCCCCAACATATTTTCTGGAGGAAGGTTTTTGGAGTGTATTGTTTGAAGATTGGTTGGCAGTTGTTTGGAAGGTTTGTTTGAAGATTGTTGGAAAGTTCTTGGAAGGTTTGCTGGAAAGTTTGTTGGGAGTTTTGTTCCAAAGGCTGTCTGAATGCATGGGGCGGCTAGGCCAAAGTGTGGAAGGTTGTTCGATGGTGTTCGGGAGGTATCGGGGAGGCCTGTGGGAACGAGTTCCCTGCGGACGACTCCAGGAGGGCTCTTCGGCGAACTCCCGCGCCAGCCTCGGGGAAAGGAGCGAGCTTCTTGTGCTGGGCCGGGCAGGGCGCGCTCGGTTGTTCCTGGCCCCTGCCCCCGGGCGTGTTGCCCTTTGGCTCTCGGGCCCCTCCCTGGCTCCCTGGCGGCGGCCCCCTGGGCGACCCGGGCGCACCCCGGAGAGCCCTCGGCGAGGTGCCGCTGCCGCAGCGCGCAGCCCGCGCACCGACGCAGGCCTCCGAAAGCCCGAGAGCCCCGCCCCTCGACGGCACGACCGGCGCAGAGAGGGGGGAAAGGAAGGATGACAGGTAAACATAAGAACTCGGAGGCCCGCGCGGAGTTCTCGGATCCGCGCTGGACCCCCCCCTGGCAGCGCCTCCGGCGCCGCCCCTAGCGCGCTCCGCGCGCCAGGGAGGGGGGTACAGCGCGGATCCGAACAATCCGCGCGAACCTCCGAGTTGCGATGTTTATGTCATTGTTTGTTCCCCTAGAGAGGGGGCGTGGGCCCCCACCTCCGCCCCAGCCCTTCGGGGGTGGCCGAGCTCGGCCACACGCAGAGGGGGGTCTCGTGGGGTCTCCTGGGGCGCCGTGGGTGCCTCTGGGAGGGGCCTCCGGGGGGGGCCTCGCGGGGGTCTCCTGGGGGCCTCTTGGGGGCCTCTCGGGGGCCGCTTGGGGCCTCCTGGGCACCTCGTGGGGGAGGGGGGGGGCTTCTTAGAGACGCCCCTGCCTGCTTCTTAGAAGGCGCGGGCCCTGTCTGTAGATCGATAGAAGGCCGGCGCCTTCTGAGAAGCAGCCTGCTTCTGAGAAGCCATCCCCCCTCCTCCCTCCCCCCTCTGCGCGCCGCCAGTGAGCGGCCACGCCGGCAGGCCATGCTCCGGTGCAGCGTGCACCAGCCCGCGTCGCCGCGGGAGGAACAGGAGCCCTCCGAGCCCACCTCGATCCGGATGGGCCGGCTCGATATCGATTCTGGCCAGCTCGATCCGCTCAAATTCTGCGGCTCCGAGATCCAACGTTTACCAGTTTGAAACATATCCCTATCCCGATGTTTGACATCACCTCACCTCGATGCCGATCTTAAGGATTCCCTCAGTTTCTGAGGGCCTATCCCTAAGATTGTCCTCGCTTTTTGCTCGCTCATCTTAGGGATAGGGATACCGTCGAGGCTGGTTAAACGTTTTGAAGGGAGGGAAAAAACGTCGTCGTTTTGCTAGTTTCGGTCTCTGATGGCCCTCGGCGGGCCCCGGTGCCGCCCAAAAAACGTCTCAGGGTGGCAAGCTGGTCCTGGGGAGTGGTCGAGACTACCAGGGACCCCGTGTTGAAGAAACAAGACATCGGATCCCTGAGCACGTTGGCTATATTCGTCGTGTTGGGCGCATTCGTCCGGTTTCGGGCCCCAGGACCATCACGGACCGATCTGGCTCGAAGAATGGCACAGACAGATTAGGTCTAGGGTTCCGGTCGCGATTTTCCGCGATGCTGCAATCCTAGACGCTTCGCGTATTTCCATCAGCCCATCCAGAAACGATGCCCAGACAAGTTGCCCTGATCAGGAACGTGATGGAGAGTGCAGTGAGAGAAAGGGCTGCGTAAGACGTCGTGCCGCAAGAGGGGGAGGATGGAGGAGGAATCGGAGGAGGAGCGAGAAGAGGAGGAGGAGAAGGAGGAGGAGGAGGAGGAGGAGGAGCAGCAGGAGCAGGAGGAGGAGCAGGAGCAGGAGGAGGAGGAGAAAGGAGAAAGGAAGAAGAGGAGAAGGAGGAGGAGGAGGAGGAGGAGGGCGAGCAGAAAGGCCAGATGCCTCTTGGATGCCTCTCGGAGTCTCTTCGGTTTTCTTTCGAGAGCTTCTTGAAGTCCTCGTGTGGCGTCTTGGGGGTGTCTTGGCTTGGCAGTTCCATGGGCCTCCTGGAGCGTATTGGGTGCTTATGGGGGGCCTCTTGGGGCCTCGTGGGGGTCTTTTGGGAGTCTCTTGTGGGCCTCTTGGGGGCTTCTTGGGGTCTCCGAGGCACCTCTTGAGACCGTCCTGGGGCACCCTTGGGAGCCTCGGGGGCCATCTTGGGGCCATCGTGGGAGTGATCGATCCAAGGAGGGGGGCTCCATACTGAGGGTCCCGCAAAAACTGTCGTAAATCAGTGGTTTGGACTTTATCGCCGAGGCCTCTTGGGGCGTCTTGGGCGCCTCTTGGTGGGCCTCTTGAGGCCTCTTGGGATTCTCGCGGGAGCCTCTTGGGGGCATCTTGGGAGCCTCTTGAGAGCCTCTTGGGGCTTCCTGGGCACCTCTTGGGGCCCTCTTGGGGCACCCTTGGGTGCCTCGGGGGCCATCTTGGGGCCATCCAGGGAGAGATCAATCGAAGGAGAGGTGCTCCTTACTTAGGGCCCTCCCAAGAGGCCAACATGTCGCCAAACTCTAGTGAAATTAATGATGTTGGCCGTCTCGCCAATGCCTCTTCGGGGGTATTGGGCGCCTCTGGGGTGCCTCTAGAAGGTCTCTTGGGAGCCTCTTGGGGGCATCTTGGGGGCATCTTGGGGGCCTCTTGGGGCCTCCTGGGCACCTCTTGGGGCCGTCTTGGGGCACCCTTGGGAGCCTCCGGGGGGCATCTTGGAGGAGATCGATCAAAGTAGGGGAGCTCATCAATTAGGCCACCCCCCCCAGGAGGCCAAAATGTTGCAAAACACCTTGACAAAATATTTGATGCTGGCTATCTCGCGGCCATCGTGATCAAATCGTGTGTTTGACATTGGCCATCTTGGACGCGCCAACGTCTCGTGAAACGCTCCGTCCAAGTCCAGGGGGAGGAGATAGGGGGAGGGGTCAAACGCAAGCCGTCTCGCTCACTCCCACCCGCCCTCCCAACACAGAAGTAGCACCCGAACCGCAGCGTGTTCAGCGGTAGTCTTTGGATGGACATCTAATCTAGTAGGAGCCAACACAGACCCCACGTGCGCAACGCTGGGGCGAGGTGCGCGAGGCGCGCCAGGCGCGCCACGCGCGCCAGGTGCGCCAGGCACAACTGTGGCCGAAGCGTGCCGAGCACGCCTGGTGCGCCAGATGCGCCACGTGATCCACGTACGGCATGTGTGTCGCATGCTACAGCCGCGCCAGAGTGTGCCAGGTGCGCCTGCGCACGTGGCCGTATACATCGGGAAACGTGTCGGCCCCCACCAGCCTTGTCGAAAACCAGTGTGCAATCGCGGCGGGGTGATCATCATAGCGTTTGGTGGGCCTGCACAGAGCAGGCAATATGCCAGCACCCCGGCCGTCCCAGTCAAAAGCAACTGCACAGTGATCGCGGAGTGCCCGTGCATGATGCAGATTTTATCTCGAAGTGCATGTTGTATTGCTGTTGATAGGGATGGTGGCCCTGCGCGCAGCAGGCAATATGCGGGCCACCCTGCCGCCCCTGTCAGAAAAAAAAACACACACAAAAAAAAAAAAACAAAAAAAAAAAAAAAAAAAAAAAAAAACGAAGTGCTCGCGCCCCCCTGAGCATGACCCAACATTTGGCCCCAAAGTGGATTTCATGCCGGTTTTTGAAGGGGATGGTGGGAGGGGCCCTCATTGGTCCTGGTTGGCTGCCGGTCGCCTGGGGGAGGGGATGTTTGTTCGTAGGAAACAGTGATAAACCCTTCCCGGAAGGGGAAGCAGGGGGTTCGAAGAAGGACCTCAACCACTCACGCCCAGAAGGGCTGGTGGGACTTCGTTCGCAACATCGGCTCTCAGGGCACTCCGATGTTCCAACGATCGGATGCGGCCCGTTGCTTGCACGGGTGCTGCTGTTCGGGGATCCCCAGAAGTCTCGGCCGAAACAGCGAAAGCAGCACGGGTTTGCTGTTTTCGGCTTCCAGGGACCCTCGCCGGGCCCCGGGACTGTCAAACACCGACTCGAGATGAAAAACTGACAGCGGAAGCCTGTTGTCTCCCCTTTTTCACTACGTTGGGTCTCTGGGGAGGAGGGGAAGGGAGAGGAAGAGCAGGAGCGGGCGAGGGGGGGGGCTGGACGGAGAGTTGGAGCCATCCTCCCCAGAAGGAGGCTGGCGCTCGAAGGCGCGCTCTGGCGCGGCAGCTGCTCGGGCGGGCATTGCCGCTGGTGGAGGAAGCCTCGCCACTCGCCGTCGTCACCGCTGCCGCCTCTCGTCGCCGCCGCCTCTCGCCTGCGTCATCGACGTCGGTGTCGTCAGTGTTGCCGCTGCCGCCAGCGTCGTCGTCGCCGGAGGCGTCGTCGTCGGCATCGCCACATCGTCGTTGTGGTCGCCGTCGTCCAAGCGGGAAGGGGGAGGAGGTCCCGGTCGCTGCTTTGGCTTCGAGGGAGGAGAAGGAGGAGGAGGAGGAGGAGGAGGAGGAGGAGGAGGAGGAGGAAGGGAAGGAGGAGGGAGGAGGAGGAGAATGAGGGAGGAGGTAGCAGAAGGTAGGAGGGATGAAGGGAGGAGGAGGAGGAGGAGGCCAGCAGGAAGGGGAGGCAAATTCGACTTCCTGGGTTCGGGAGGGTTTTCTGTCTGTTTCGGCCTCCGTGAGCCGTGTTCGGGGCCCAGGGCCGTCGGAAACGAATCCGGGGCGAAAGTTGCACCAGATCCCGGGAGGGGTCCAGACAGAAATGTGTCACCAGATTTGGCCCCACCCCTCCTGACCGATTCTCGAGGGCCCCAGCCCAGTTCAGACCCCCGGGCCGCCTCCGAGCCTCCCCCCCGCCCGTTCCCCCCCCCGTCTTCGCTCGGCTGCTGGTGTTGCGCGGAGCTCCAGGGCATCTCAGGGTCTACCCGGGCTGATGGTTCACAGAGGCTCATCGTGCTCTCCCTCGTCCGCCTGTGCCCTCCCCCATTTTGTTCACTCCTCCTCCTCCTCCTCCTCCTCCTCCTCCTCCTCCTCCTCCTCCTCCTCCCCTCCTCCATCCTCCTCCTGCTCTCCTCCTCCTCCCCTCCTCCTCCTCCTCCTCCGCCTCCTCCTCCCTTCTCTCCTTGCCTCCCCCTCCTCCTCCTCCTTCTCCTCCTCCTTCTCCTCCTGCTCCCCCTCCTCCTCCTTCTCCTCCTCCTCCTCCTCCTCCTCCTCCCTCCTCCTCCTCCTCCTCCTCCTCCCCCTCCTCGTCCGCCTCCTCCTCCTCCCTTTCCTTCCTTTTCTTCTCGTCGTCGTCATCGCCGTTGTCCTCGTCCTCGTCGTGAACCTCCTCCTCCTCGGCCTCACCCTCCTGATGCGCGCCGTTCAGCGTGCGGCGTTGGCCTCCCACATCTGCAGCAGGCAGGGGCCGGCGGAGCGCCTCTCACGCCGAGCAGTTCCCGGGCCGCCTCGCTCTCGGCCTCGCGTGCCCTGCTGTGGCACTCGCTGTCGTCGACGTCGTCGTCGTCGTCCTGCTCCTCGTTGTCGTCTCCCCCCTCTTCGTGCTCCTCCACCTCGTCCTCATCATTCTCCCCTCCCCGTTCCATCCTATTGTCCCCCCCTCCCTTCCGTCTCCCCTTTCCATCGTCCTCGCCGCTTGCACACCCGCTGCACCGAGCGGCCCACAGGAGTGCACGCGCAGGACCGCCAGAAGCCTGGGGGGGGGTAGGCGGGCAGAGGGGTGCCTCCCCAGGCGTCGAGGAAGGAAAATCAAGGGGCGAGGAGGAGGAGGAGGAGGAGGAGGAAGAAGAGGAGGAGGAGTAGGAGGAGGAGAAGGAGTGCAACCTCCCCTCTGCTCGAGGTGTGTCTTCTCGTTCCTGTCTCGCTGTTCTCCCGCCACCTTGTCATGCACCCACCGCTTCTTCTCCACGCTCTCCCGCCTGTCTCGTTGTCAATGGTCCCGTGCTCTTACCATCCGTTGGATCCCGCCGAGGTGCCATGAAATCGGCTCCCGAGCAGAAAGAGGGGAATCGAGGATCAGGCTGATTGATCCTTCTTGACTCGCTGTAGGCCTCCCGGACCCCCTCGTGACCCTCGTGGCCACGGCTGGATTTCCTTGGACTTTTTTCCCGGAAAGGGCTTCAGGCCCAGGGTTCTCTTTTAGAGGTTTCCCCCCGGTTTTGACGGGAAGAGGGCCGGCGGATTTCTTTAGCGATGAATAACGAGTGGGAAGAGGGCCGGCGAATTAAGATTTCAGGATGTCCTTAGCGAAACGCTTGTTCTTCAGAATGTGTTGAGGATGTCTCGAGCGAAACGCTTGTGTTGTATTATAGATTGGTCTCCTGGGGACCTGAATTCTGAGGATCTCTCAAGTGGATTGCTTGGTTTCACGTGCCCAGGTCTTGAGGATGTCTCGAGCGAGACGCTTGGTTTCACGCCTCCTGGTGGCCCAGACAGATGTCTAGCATGAGGATTTGTTGAGGATGTCTCGAACCAGAGGCTTGTTTTCACGTGTCCAGGTCGCCCAGGCGGATGTCTAGCATGAGCATTTGTTGAGGATGTCTCGAGCGAGACGCTTGTTTGCACGTGTCCAGGTCGCCCAGGCGGATGTCTAGCATGAGGATGTGCTGACAATGTTTTGAGCGAAACGCGTGTTTTCACGTGTCCAGGTCGCCCAGGCACAGCACAGCCCTCGGCACGGTACATCAATATCGATACCCTTAGCATTGCAGCCTGGCATGTTGTCTGGCACGTTCCGCGGAGCGTCCCGTGGCGAGTCCCCCTGGCACGTCGCGAGGTGCACACGTCCATTGGCACGTTCCGTAGCGCGTCCCTTTGGCACGTCCCGCGGTGCGTGCCCATGGCACGTCCCCTGGCACGTCGCCTGGCGCGTCCCTTGGGACGTTCCGCGGCGCGTCCTCTTGGCATGTTCCCTCTGTCGATTAGTTCTGGGGCAGCTACCATCTGCTCAGGCAGCTCGAGCTTACGATCCAGATCAGTTCGGTGAGGACTCGGATGCCAGGGAGGACTCGATCCACAACGCTAATCAGAGCACAATCGCGGCATGGCACATCGCAGTTCAGCACGGCCCAGCACAGCACAGCCGTCGGCACGGTACATCAAGATCGATACCCTCAACTATGCACCTTGGCACGTTCTTTGGCGCGTTCCGCGGCGAGTCCACCTGGCACGTCGCGCGGCGCGTCCCCTGGCACGTCCCTTGGCACGTCCATTGGCACGTTCCGTAGCGCGTCCCCTTGGCACGTCCCGCGGTGCGTGCCCATGGCACGTCCCCTGGCACGTCGCCTGGCGCGTCCCTTGGGACGTTCCGCGGCGCGTCCTCTTGGCATCTTCCCTCTGTCGATTAGTTCTGGGGCAGCTACCATCTGCTCAGGCAGCTCGAGCTTACGCTCCAGATCAGTTCGGTGAGGACTCGGATGCCAGGGAGGACTCGATCCACAACGCCAATCAGAGCACAATCGCGGCATGGCACATCGCAGTTCAGCACGGCGTAGCACAGCACATTCCTCGGCACAGTACATCATCATCGATACATTCAGCATTGCATGTGCCCGTCGCCCAATCAGGTGTCTTTGAAATGTTGCAATGCCTCACATTTCTATATTCCTTTCCGGGTTCGTGGGTCGATCATGTTTCCAGAATGCATCCTGGGGTTGGTCAGGGGATGTGCCCGCTTTCGGGCTGCAGGCCAATCAGGGAACGGTCCGCGAAGAGAAAAGGCAAGGTCTCGGGGATTGGGTCCAGGGATCTGGGGCCCACGTCGGGAAAAGGGTCGTGACATCGGAGGTCTGCATAGTTTGTTGGATAGCGCTGTGTTGGCGCGGCGGCGACCCCGCCACCGGTGGCTTGGAATCCGCCGACGTCGAACGATCTGCGCAATCGGAAAGCCTCGATCGTTCAAGGCTGAACGATCTACTGACGCCGACGCCATCGCGACGTGAACCCACCGTACCGTTGGGAGCAGCATTCGTGGCCGCCGCTCGTGTGGGGGGACTCGGATTTCTGCCGTTGGGGCCGCCGCACGGCCCCTCGGAGGCCCCCAGGGATGACTCTGGCGCCTAGCGCGGGACCGAGAGCAGCGGTCTCTGACCACGGTGCTCTGGAAGGCACGCTTCCCAACGACTATGTACTCGCTCCTCCTCTCTGCTCCCTCCCCCCTTCTCCTCATCCTCCTCATCCTCCTCATCCTCCTCATCCTCCGCCTCTTCCTCTTCTTCCTCATCCGCCTCCTCCTCCTCCTCATCATCCTCCTCCACGTTCCTCTTCCTCCTCATCCTCCTCCTCCCTCCTCCCGGCCACGGCGCTGCGTTGGTCAGCAGACCTCGGCAGCAGAGGCATCCGTGACAGCCACCTGCTGGGGTGATTGCCTGCTGGCCTTCGGCCCCGTTTCGGCGTCTCCCCAACATACTTATACTGTATGTGCGTCGCCCCCTCGGGGGCGACGCGCGCACCGAGAAATCTGATAGTGCATGTGCCGCGGCGGGCGCTTTCTGGCCACACCGCCTGGGAAAGGATCTGCTACAGGATGGGTCTACTAACCCCAGGAAGCATTTAAGAACCCCCCCCCCCGCTGGCAAATCGATAACCCTTCCGC